TTCTGGGCACCACATTCAAGAAAGATGTGGAGAAATTGGAGAGGATCCAGAGAAGAGCAACAAGAATGATTAAAGGTCTTGAGAACATGACCTATGAAGGAAGGCTGAAAGAATTGGGTTTGTTTAGTTTAGAAAAGAGAAGATTGAGGGGGGACATGATAGCAGTTATCAGATATCTAAAAGGGTGTTATAAGGAGAAGGGAGAAAACTTGTTCATCTTGGCCTCCGAGGATAGAACAAGAAGCAATGGGTTTAAACTGCAGCATGGGAGGTTTAGGTTGGACATTAGGAAAAAGTTCCTAGCTGTCAGGGTAGTCAGACACTGGAATAAATTGCCCAGGGAGGTTGTGGAATCCCCATCTCTGGAGATATTTAAGAGCAGGTTAGATAAATGTCTATCAGGGATAGTCTAGACAGTATTTGGTCCTGCCATGAGGGCAGGGGACTGGACTCGATGACCTCTCAAGGTCCCTTCCAGTCCTAGTAATCTATTATTAACTTTTGGTAAAATTACCACCAAAATTTTCTTCATTTCTCAACTGGGGAATCTATTAAACTCTCATCTTTTGCTTCAAATGCTTAAAAATACTTAAAATTAAGAATGGCGAGGAGTCCTGTGGCACCTTATAGACTAACCGAAGTGTTGGAGCATAAGCTTCCGTGGGCAAAGACCCACTTCATCTAAGCTTATGCTCCAACACTTCGGTTAGTCTATAAGATGCCACAGGACTCCTCGCTGCTTTTGCAGATTCAGACTAACACGGCTACCCCTCTGATACTTAAAATTAAGACTAATTCAGACTAATTCAATGTTTTTTATGCAAGCTATGTTAGATGTTCTCTTCACTCTATATACCCAATGTTTTTGGGCAACCGTTTAGGTGTTTTACCTGTTGTATGAGAAGACGTTACCAATTCCTTTGTGCGACTTAAGAGAGCAACAGTAGTTGGTTTGGTAGCTGCTGCCAAAGTAGTGGAAAACCTTGCAGTGGTTTTGTGAGTGGAAGATGTTTTGGGAGGATGTGTAGCTGGGATATTTTCTTCAGTGATTTTAATGCTAGCGGTAGTGCTAGTTTCCATCGCTTTTGTAGTTACTGCAGCAACATAGGCCAGTGTTGTGGTAGCAGCAATTTGAACTCCGCGAGTGTGCATTGTACTAGATTGATCTGTAGTTGACAGAGCATGTGCTGGCCCAGAAGTCACACCTGTTGACAGTGTAAAAGTTTTTCCTGTTGTTAGTTCCACTGCAGGGAACACTTCTCTTTGATGCGTCATATTTGGCAAGATACTAGTTGATCCTTTTGCCATCTCAGTGTGTTGGGTACCCTGGCTCAGACTTGTAGCAGCTGTTGTCGGAAGCAAAGTTGTCTTTTCCACATGGTCCTCCTTTCCAATGGTCCTGGAAGTGAAGGTTCTTCCTGTGGAGCTCTCTGTCACTAGTAAGGAAGCTGATGTGGATGAAGAGTGATGGCTGAACTGTTCCATAGGTTCAGTCTGAAGAGAAAGTGGCTCTACAGTTTTGAAACTAGTGCTTTCTTTCTGCTGGTGCGGTCCACTGTGATTCCTGTATTGTCCGGGTGTACTCCCATAGAATACAGCAGAGGTGGGCTCAGTTCGGTCTGACCCTTCCGATGTAACTGTGGACACACTGGTCTGAAAACTATCGCTAGCCCGTGATGACGAAGACGATGAAGGTAATACAGATGATACTATAGGAAAGGACGTGACTGACGAGGAGGCGGATGAAGATGACAGAGATGGTGGTGGGAGTGATGATGGTCGTATCCCTGATGAAGAAGATGGTAGAGAGGACTCTGATGATGCAAATGACTGAGGAGGCAGTGGCGTTGAGGAAATCAAGGGTTGTAATGATGCCGCTGAGGAAGAAGGTGGAAACACTGATGATGATGATGATCTGCCAGTTGATGATGATTCAGTGCCAGTGACAGACAGAGTTGTATTTTGTAAGTTGACTGTAGAAGAGTAAGTTGCCATTTTGGAAGACTGTACAAGCAAAGGCTCCGTAGACGGAGCAATTAAATCCCCCTCACTTGAAGATATGTTACTTCCTCTGCTCTGAGTCATAAAAGATGAGGACTGTGCTAATTCTGAAGAGCTGGAAATATCTGCATAAAAAGTGGAACTTTCTGATGATTCGGCAGAGGTACTGTTATTTGATATAGACAGTAAAGTCCTGTCTCCGCCTCTACTGAACGTGGTTGAAATGTACGTGCTGTCAGTGCGAGAAGCAGAAGTCCTTTTCTCAGTCTCGATGCTGCTAACCGGTTGATAGCTACTTGCAAAGCCTGGAATAGAAGAAAAAAAATTAACATGACTGTGATGCCCTCCCCCTCTTCCCACCACCATGCTGTATGAAATTGTCTTATGTATACAAATATGCATAAGCTGAAGATTCTTTGGATAAAGACCTCATGTGACGTATCAATTTTAATGTCACAATCTGCTGGGTCTGTATATCATATTTTGGTATATGTATCACTCTTGTATGTAAAGTTAGAAATATGGAGTATGGAATGGTTTATGGTTTTAAATGTGCACATGAAAGCCATCAAGGGTGTTTCCAATGAATGGACACATTAATGACTGGGTGATCAACTTAACCACTTGAGAACAGTCTTGTTTGTCCATTTTCATTTGCAACCACTTAAATCCTATTGTTTGTACTCAATAAAATTACTTTTATTTATTATCAAGCCCAGTGTAAATAATTGTTCCTCGGAAAGAACAATCAGTGTGCACATCTTCCTTTCATTATTTCATACTTCTTATCCAGGATGGGAAGAAAAGGTGTCCCTAGATTCAGTCAGAGGCTTGGAATGGATGACAAGAGAGGGATCACTTGAGGATTACCTGTTCTGTTCACTTCCTGTGGGACACCTGGCATTGGCCACCATTGGAAGACAAGATACTGGGCTAGATGGACCTTTGGTCTGACCCAGTATGGACGTTCTTATGTTATGTTATTGCTAAGGGGAGCTTACCTGAATGAGCTTTCAACACATGAAACTCTCATACAATGAAAGATGGATTGATCTGGGCTTTTGATTCCATTTGGGGGGTTGGTTTACTGGATGCTGTGGCCTGGAACTGCATTCTCACAGATGTGAAGTGATTCAGTGTTTGCATTGCTCTTGGCGGGAGGGGGGGGAGAAGAGGGGTGGTTTTCTCAGCCCTGTGCCTTGTCTGGGGGAGACCAGGAGATGTGGCCCAGCTGCACAGGGTGGTGAGGAACCCAGAGAGCAGGAAGGTGAGTGTCCCTGGCTTTATCAGTACACTTGAAGACAGCCCCAAGAGGTCTTCTGTGACCTTACCCCATCACAATGATAGTAACATATCACAATATTTTGGCATTTTACTGAAATTATATGTCTGACACAAAATGTATTAGTCTGTGTATTGGACAACCAGTCCATCAGTTAGTATGGAGGCTATCTGCCAGTGAAAACTTGTTTGAGCATGCTTTTGCAAATGCAACTATGTACTTATGACTATCTTGTGATTTTTAACACTCTGAAATGTTAACCTCAACCTCTTGCAGCATTGAGTCTCACACAGTAACTGTATGTTCATCACAAGGTATTTTTTACCTCTTTCAATGTGTTTCCTTTTCACATGATAGAGTAACTATTTCTTCTACTTGTGTTTTGTGACTGGGTGAACAGAAAAGCCTATTTGTCCTCTACATCATTCAGAATGACCTTATCCTCTAACTCTTCCTCCATTCCAAATTCAATAAAACCAGTCTTTTTTAAAACTGGTTTTGCACAGAAGACTTCTCATACCTCCATAGGAAGAAAATATTTTTCAAGAACGCATTCTACCTTAGACTAGGTCTATACTAGACCCGGAAGATGGGAGTAAGGTCTGCAACTCTAGATACGTAAATAATGTAGCTGGAGTCAACGTACCTTAAACTGAGCTTGGCGCCATCTTCATAGTGGGGGGAACGGGGGGGTCAATGGGAGCAAACACCCTTGTTGGCTTCTTTTACTCCTTGTGACTGTGAGAAGTACCAGCGCTGACTGGGGGCACCATCAGCAATAGATTTATCAGGTCTTTATTAGACCTGCTAGATCGAACACCAAAAGATTGATCTCCAGTGCTGCAAGTGGAGATGGGGCCTTGGTGTGTATAAAATAATGTCTTGTCAAATTAATGGATCAAAGACTTCATAATCAGAAGCCCTCAAGAGCACAAAATGTCTCTTTAAAAAGTTAGCTGTGGATGACACCAAATATTAATATTTGTGGTACAGTCAATCATAGGAAGAGCATGTGTGTAATTAATTTCTGTGTTTACAGTGAATTTAGTGATGTCCTTAGATTTACAGAATGAGATTTTCAAAAGACTTCTGCATTGGCCTAACTCTGCTTGTACTGAAAGCTCCTATTGCCTCTTTGGACATGGAGTTAAGCCAACAAGGAGCATTTTGGAAAATATCACCCATAAAAAAGAAGGTAGAATGCAAATGAACACAATAATATCAGATTCCTCACAAATAATGGCCAGTCAAGAATCACAGTTTCAATGTCAATAATCCTAGTTGCCTGGACATTTACCCCTTGGTAAAGATTTCCCAGAAAGTGTGAGCTTGGCTTTGATTTATTTACTGTAGATAGAGCACTTGGGTATATGGGGATCACCATCTGTCTGACACATGCAAGGGATTTAATGCACTGGTGAGATTTTGTATGTAAAACAAGCATTTCAAAGAAACATGCACCCAAAACACTCACTGGAAGGATCATTTTGGAAAGAAGAGTAAGT